TCATTGATTAGCTAAGACACTCAACAACCACTAGGTGTCAGTCGTTATAATGTCGGGGGGGGAAACCATGCTCAATGAAACCCTTCAAAGGAGAATTTCTACTTCTTTGAGAAGAACTCTCTTCGTGGCAACATTGAGAGTAGTGTTCTCCAGTCGCCCACTGATCTGTAGAAGCCCAAAGGACAAGATCTTGAACCTGACCACTTCCATGTGCATATATCAGTTCACCTGTTGTGTGGCTCCAGCCAGGTACATTGGTCAGTCGACGCGCATCCTGTCAAAAAGGGTCAAAGAACACTATCCAGTGTGGTTGCACAAAGGAAGTAGTAGCCCCGTATAAGGTGTGCAATAATCGAACATCTCATCACCCACTGGTCATTTCATCTCCTGCTTCAAAGTAATCTACAAAGTGAAGAACAACCTGCCAAAGACAACACGTTTCCGTCTTCTTTGCTATGCAGAAGCCCTAGCCATTCAGTTAGAAGAAGCAGAACTATGCATACAAAAGAAAATTATTCAGCCACTTCTACTTTTATGGTAACAAATCTGTTGATTCGACTTAACATTTGCTTGTTTTTTCTAACTACTTCAAATTCTTACGTAATCTCGTATTTTATTTGATTTCATGTACACCCTGAGCACAATTCTTTCATCAAACTATTCATGTTATTATTATAATTTAAAAAAATATTAGCCTTGCTTTACGATTTCGTCTTCTACATACCGCTGAAGTAATCGGAATCCGCTTAAAGAAGTCAAACGTGTAGATTCTTAAGAAATTAGTTCATACGCTTCCCTTACGCTGGTCATCATTATCTCAAATGTTGTTATAATTTGAGAATGTTTTCTTTTCCCCGAACCCTTTTGCTCTTGTTTTAACCATCTTTAATTGTCTCACAAATTTTATTCCTAATTTTGTCTGGTTTTCAATTTCGTATTACATTTTTATGCGTATTACAACACTTATGCATAATTTCTAACTGTAATTCTATTGAAAGTTAACTGGTGGATGGTGACTAGCAGTGGATGGAATCCAGCTTGATGCGCATTTCGTCCTATTTGGGACTCGTCATCTGGATGTACCTGCATTCCCCAGTAATTGATGATGTTCCCACCACCGAGGCTCGAACCCAGTGTTCATAGTTTCGTCGGAGCATCTGCACAAGAAGCCGACATGTCAACCTGAGACCGAGCACTTCGGGGTCCAATCAATCGACGGGAAAATCTAAAATTGAATTAAATATGTAATTCTTTTGGTCTTCACAATTCAATATTACAGAAAGATGGCGTAGCTATGGGGTCTCCTTTTGGTCTACTCCTAGCTGACTGCTTCATGGAGAGTCTCGAAAACAACATCCTCGATCCTTTGATAAGTTAACTGCACTTATACAGGAGATACGTAGATGACACGTTCATAATTTGTGATGAAAAAGTTGATTTAGAATATCTCGTCAAAACCGTCAACGCAGCACACTCATCAATAAAATTTACCTTAGAAAGTGTATCGAACATGGCATTTCCGTTCCTCGATGTACTACTTACGAGAAGACAAGACTACACCATCCAAAGATCAATATATCGCAAGCCAACATGTACGGGACAGTTTATCAACTTCCAGAGCTTCGTCCCATTGATCTGAAAGCAAATCCTGGTACGTATATTAAGTTCGAGGATTAAAAAAATCCGTTCAGAGGACACGATAAAGAAAGAATTAAATTTACTACGTGAAACCCTACTGGAGGAGAACGGGTATCCACCAAGATTCATAGAAAAAACATGAAAGAAAAGCCAAAAAGTCACCAAAAATCACAACTGTTCCTAAGAGAACTCTCTTCAAGAACCTGGAATTCAAAGGTGACATCGAAGCAGAAATTCCTAGAAACCGCCTTTCTAAATGTCTGAAGAAGACATTTCAAGCAGCCAACCTACGCATCACTTTCTCCAGCAGACAATTTGTCCAGTCTAAGGTTGAGGACAAGAGACCGCTTTTGGCCACCTCAATATATATTTATCAATTTACTTGTTCGTGTGGAGCAAAGTATATCGGCCGTACGCAACGTCAAGTCTGGAAACGTTTTATGGAACATTGTCCAACTTGCCTAGCCATCCAGAGGAGAAAAGAAGAATACTAACAGCTCCATCCTCGAACACCTTGTCAACTCTGGACATCGAGCACCGCCACCTGCATGAATGCTTCACAGTGCTACACAGAGTCCCTCAATATTGTACGAAAGGACTTCGAATACGCCATCTGTACATAGCTGAATCATTGGCTATTCGGGATCTGAAACCGGACTTCTGCATTCAAAAGCACTACATAAATTCACTCGCCCTACCGTGGCCAGAGTAACGTTCTCACTATAATTTTGCTTCCTTTTATTGTAAATAATTTATGTTTAGTTCATATTATTATTATTCGCATAATCCTTATTTTATTATCACTCTACTACTGTTTATTAATAACGCTGAGTTTTCATACAGATTTTATTTAAAAACACTTTATCATCTTTTCACTAGTTCCTGTCCATTCTACACAATTATATTGATTAGTCAATTTCTCACACTTATTACGTCATGCCAACTTCTGCCTCTTTTCTAGCTTCCAAGTAGTCACCCTTTCTAGACTACACCTTACATTTCGTAATACATTTCTGAGGACAAACTTAACCAGTATCTGATTGGTCTTATGAATTCTTTGTTAAATATAATTACGATTATTGCACAGCAGGTTATGAAAATGAATCGACGAAAAGAAAATTTTCTTCGCTGTTTGCGTCTTTTTTTCTTTATAATTCGACATTAGTAATACCAAGTGTCAATCCTTTCACGGGATACTAAGCAGTAATTCATGTCGTGTGTCTAGAAGTTGGCGTTTGCTGAAGACTGAATTCTATTAGTCAAGTTTATAATGTGTTCAATATGCTAGGTAGCTAGGTAACTCACCATCTGGGTACATTCTGAATGTTCAAGAGTTTGGCTTGTAAGGATTAGATTTGTTTATACGAGTTTGACCACGGATTGGTATCAGTTAGAGAAGCATTGAAAACCAGCACTGGACAGCTGTTTCATCCTGGTTTGGGAATCATTGACAGGACGCACCCCCTGCCAGGGTTCGAACCCAGGACCTACCGGTTACAAGGCAAGCTGGCTCGTATACCATTCAGTCACTAGGACCCATTTCAATGGCCAGGCGATGAATTATAACTTCCACCAATACGTGATTTAGCGAGACCACCAACCAACATCATCGGTGAAACATCCACCTTCACACTTGACTAGTTGGACATCAATGGTCACGACTTCTCACTAGAACTCCAGGAAACTCTGTCCTGTAGCAAGCCACTAGCGAGCATCACCAAATTGGTAGCAGTTAGAATTCATGCACTGGCCACTGAATCGGGTCCCCGTGGCTGAATGGTATAAATGCCAGCTTGCCTTGTAACCGGAAGGTCCTGGGTTCGAACACTGGCAGGGGTCGCGTCCTGCCGATGATTCCCAAAATAGGATGAAACAGCTGGTTGTCCAGTACTCCCCCCAGCTGGTTTTCAGTTCTTCTCTAACTGATATCAATCCGTGATCAAACTCGTATAAACATTCTGAATGGCTGTTATTATTAGATAGTTGTAGGCAATCGTCAGGAATCCCTACCAAGACCTAAGTTCACTGCTTGTTGCTTGTTACTGAACAGTCAACAAGGCATGCCTATAGTCTTGAAGGGACAAATTATGTTCCAATCTGAGATCTGAATCCTCCAAGGCTGTCCGCATTCAGAGACACTACACTTCCATAGTAGGCAGCCCTGTGTGTTATTCCTTCAAGATCACAGATTCTCTTTGTTGACTGGTGAGCGCTAACAGCTAAAGCCTCCTATCGATTACCTCCAAAACATCTAAGAACAATGACAGAAAAAAGAAAGACTTTGCAAACATTTTTACGCAAAACCTTTTTTACTACTTTTATCAGTAGTATAAATAAATTTCACAAAAATAATACTGTCCGCTACACACACACACCACACACCCACACACAGACACACCAAACATCGTAGGTTCATTATCTCTAAGTGGACTTTTGGATCCACGAAGGCATGTTGCTGCAATTTCTACACTAAATGATGCATTGTGCTTTTAAAGAGACGAAATGAAATCAAAAAAAGGCGGGCGGGGGTTGAAGATGTCTAGTGGAAAGCAAACAAGATGGGTGACAGCATGCAAAATAATATTATTAAGTTCAACTCATTGAAATATGCATATATATATGTGTGTATATAGAAATGTATAAGTACGTATATCTCTTGAGAAAAGCGCATAGGTAATCTCTCTCTACCTCACTCTCTAATGTCTTAAGAAGATTAGAGAGTTGAAAAAGACAAATAAAACATCCCATAGTCTCTATCATCCACAAGATCAATAGTATCGATTTCCAATATATGTATGTATATATATATTGTCTTGATCAAATTAGATCGGATCAAAACTGAGATGAAAATCAAGGTCATATCATCAAATCGAAAGCAAGCCATAACAGCAACAAAAAGACAACAACAACAACAAACAGAGGTTCACCAACAGAAAATAATACGTGGGAAAAACAAAATAGGGAACATTTGAAAAATTGTTATGAAAAAGGAAAACAGTTTGAAAGATGAAAGAAACTCTATGTCGTCTGATATATTTGTATATTTTTGCTGGTAATTATTGATCGTTTGATAGAGTAAGAGAGAGAGGTAAAACTGAAGAGTTAGAAAGATGGTTCAGTAGACGAAACAGAAAACAAGCTCTTAATGGTACTATTATTATTATTAATAATAATAAGATCAATAATAGGAGTAATATTCGTAGCTGAGTTATAGCAGTCCGCGAAACTAGAATACTTCTTATATAAATGAATTTGGCAAAAAGTGAGTGGGTGAGTGGGGGCGAGAGTCCTTTTAAATAGCAATAGATAATAAGTATTTTTCGCGAAACGACAGCATCAACTCTTCGTCATCAGTTAACTAACTAGCTGGTTGTCTGTTGATTGTATAAACATATTCTTGCCAGAGTCATTGCAATCCAATCAGGCGGTGCTATGGCCTTCAGTAGAGATGTGGTTACTTCTGGTGATGCCTGGAATTCATGCTTTGCAAGTTCATGAAGTTGCTTCATTGTTTCATTGATCACTTCATTGATTGATTCACCATGGTTGATATGAAGATTGGTGAAAAGTGATTTCAGGGTGTTGTTATTCTGACTACCATCCTTTGAGGAGTCTTTTTCATGCGTCTCCGACTTCGCTTCGTCTTGATGTGACGAAGGAGACGAAGAAGCAGTCTGGTGATCAGCGGGATGATGGAGTTTAGCATACGGTTTGAATATTGTTAAACAGTTGGATGCTGAAAGGATGAGTAGTATATTTTCTGGTTTCAAATCAAATTCTACTGATGTGTTGATGTCATGCGGTGATTGTGCAGTGATGTGCAAGCATTCACTTAGACTCAGAAGGACGCCTAGCTTTATGCAGTTCACGAGTATTTGTATGTTAATGTCTGGTTGTTTCTCCTTGTCGTCCAGGCTTAATACGCTTTTTAGGGTTGTTGCCGTAAATATCGAGTGAAGTATCTTTTCGTCAGGTGATGATGCCTTGGCTTTCTGATCGAGTGTGTTCGTCTTGTGACCGCCATTTGTAGCTGGAATTGGTGATTTAGTGGTTTGGTTGTCTAACCAATTGGTGAGCAGTTTGTCTATTGTTTTTCGAGTATATTTCAGCTTATTTGAAAGATTATTTGATCCTTTCTGAAAGCAAAAGAGAAACAAATAAACAAAAAGGGAAATTAGTAATAATAATAATAATATTAGTAATGGTAATGGCACTACTCTGAACAATCCATTTATAATATAGAGAAAATATTCATTCAGACATCTATAAAACACAAAATCATTGAGCAAAGAATATCCTTCTCGATAATTTCTTCCTCTTCTGGCTCTACAATTATGTGTAGATGTTTATATACATAGAATATTCTAGAATAGTAGTCAATAACAATATTAGTGTTTTCTAAATAATATCGATTTGTTAAGTAAGATCACAAAGGAATAACAGTTCATTAAAGATGCTTAAATAATAATAATAATAAAGATATAGTAGCAAATAGAATATCAACTAAAATTAGGAAAATCCACAAAAATTCAGGATCATTCAAACCTGGATGGCCAAGGTAACGATGATGTCTGAACTAGCTTCTTTTGGACGCATAAATTAGGCTTCTTAATGTGGATCCCAACAGCCAGCCTCAGCAATATTTAGTAGACGAACTCTTAAGGTGAAGTTAAGATTTGTTGGTATGCGGTAAATGATTTTGAAAGCTGCCTCGTTAACATCATCAATCTTGTGTTCTGTATCCACAAGATGAGATAGAATAGCGCTATGTGAATGGATTTTGTTTGTCCTTTACTTTACCAACCAGGCAGGATGTTGTTCGGAAATCCGACGACAAACACGCCTAATTGTACCATCTATGCAACTAACTGGCTCACTCCACAGGAGCAGTTAAATTGATAAATACACACACATAGAAGAGGCGAAATTAGGCAGTTTGTCTTTTACTCCCGAACTTAAAATAGTGGTGGTTTTGAAGACACAGTGTAATTCGGCAGCAGGGAATGCTCTTTTCACCGCATTTCTAAGGTGTTGTGTTAGTATCTCTCTGATGTTATCCCCGAATAACTGAAGTTGTATAAGAATACAGCCTTTTTCGGAACTGTTGGTACTTTGGCCTGCCTTGACCTTTTATTCGTATTCTTATCGGTTAATTTTTCTGGATAACCGGCGTTCTCACTCAGCAACAGTTTATTTAATATTAAGCTCTTCATTGAGCAATCACTTTATTAGATCGCGTTTGCATTTCAAAGGCATGAAGCTGAAAAAATGAGTATACTGACTAGGTGATGTAGGTTTTCTATATGAACTTCTGCTTATTATACCGTCCTCTTCTCAGGATTATAACTGAGGATATTCCTGATTGGGATGGACTGGGGAGAGGTCGATAAGACAGATACACGCTAGACCAATATTATTATTATTATTCGCTTGAGTTCCGAGTGGAACATACGATTTCAACAGCACATCTCCACTTTATCCTGTCTTCTTCCGTCCTATTCAGTTTGGACCACTATTGCCCAAATTCTCTCATTTTCTCCTCACAAGATCTCTTCCATGTTACCCTAGAACGACCTACTCGTCGCTTCCTATTGAGATTCCATTCGAGGGTTTGTCGCGAGATGTCATTCGACGGTTTCCCCAACGTATGTCTGACTGATCCATCTCTATTTTCTCCTACAAATTTGTTGAGCGATCAGCTCTTGTTTGGTTTATTCCAGCCACAGTGTCTGTTTAATAATTCTTTCTAGTCATTTGATCTTCAGTATGGAGGCAACGAAGTGGGCAGCTGTTGATAAAAGTCTGCAACAGGCTGTTGGAAATCCTTTTCGTGACACGCTGGTCAAGTTTCTGACCCGTATTGAGGGACCGACTTGATATTGGTGTTGAAAATACGAATCTTGTTCTCTATGCTTGGTGTAGAAGATTTCCAAACTGGTTTCCGGTTGATGAAGGCATATCTCGCCTCTTCGATTCTAGTTGACTGGCTTTGACATCTTCATCCATTCCAACTGCCTGTTGTTGAAACGATGCTTCCTAGCTGGTTAAGTGAAGGAATCAACCTCTGTTAAATCTCTGCCGCTGATGGTAAACCGATAAGAATACTCTAAAAGATCTGCAGGCGAAAATTAACATTTGGTTGGCAGAACAATTAGGTGGCAGTGAAGACGGGACTTCAGGTAAGAACACACAGAGGGCGAAGGTGGTGAAGATACGTGACAACCCACAGCAACAAGCACCAATCACAACAAACCCAAAGTTCACTTATCTGGCTAGGCTGCATCGTTTCAAACATAGAGGTAGGTGGGACGAATGCCAACATCAGAGGCGGAATGAAGCTGAACAGTTAAGTCAAACCTTCACTGCTCTCAAGTCCGTATGGAAATCAGTTGCACCCAGCATCATGGAACAGATTCAGAGAATTGAAGAAAGCGTCAGCAAAAGTATTTCTAACAAGCCACTGCAGACTTTCATTAACAACTAACTGACTTGCCTGGGTGTTGAAAAGATGAGATCAGCAGTAAGAATAAGCATCAAACAGTTCTTTAAGACAGAGAACCAACAGATATATTATGAGGAAATCAAGATGCATTGGACACATGGAGAAGAGTCCATTGAGTGGCATCAGACGCCTTGTAGACAATCTAATGGAACATTGTTTGATCTTAAACATGCTCAAACGCCTGATAGTTTTTATCCCATAAGAATCTACCTAGCGGTATACACTGAAGGCCTTTCTAAAACGCAGATTGCTCCTTTATCGAAGTAATTAGATGCTTGAAACGAAATGATATTGAGTAGTATTAGGTGGTTGGAGGCTATTGGCAGGAAGTCATGAACCTAGGTTTCGTGCTTGTTGGCACTCATCAGTCAGCAAGGCATACCCGCAACTTTGAAGGAACTCATGTCCCTTCTGAGATTCGATCTCGCGCTACCCAGTGCTACCTGCAGTTAGAAACGTTACCACTTAGCTGTTTCGGTTCGCGATCGGCCTCCCAGAATTGCTTATTGTTATCTATTATTATTGTTTCCTTTAGTTTCTTAAGGACCATACAGCTTCAGCAGTACGTCTCCATTGCGTTCGGTTCTTCGCCAACGTTTTCATCATCTGGATCCACGTCTGTAAACATGCTTTCATCTCATCTTCGCATCAACTCCTCCAAGTCACTCTCGAACTGACGATCAACTAGCTCGACGCCTCCCATTCGGGTTCCACTCGAGTGATGGCCTGGCGTGTGGTGTCACTCACTTGATGGTTTTCTCAGAGTATGGTCAATCCACCTCCATTTCTCCCTGCATATTTGTTGCACGGTCGGTTCCTGTTGGGTTGGTTCATTCATTGCCAGAGATCCCTGTTGCTAGTCTTTTCTGGCCGGCCATTTGATCTTGAGTATTGTGCGAAGACGGCTGTTGATGAAGGTCTATTGTTTGTTCGGGGTGGCCTTCGTGACGCGCCAAGTCTCTGATCCTTATAGTAGCATTGACTTCACATTGGATTTGAAAATCCGGATCTTATTTTTGATGATGAGTGCTGTTGACCTACACACAAACTTGAGAGTAACGAAAGCTTGCCTTGCTTTCACGATCCCTGCTTTGATGATATCCTCATCAGTTCCGTCGACCTTTAGTTGAAACGATGCTTCCCAGGTCGGTAGGTATGTAAAGGAGGTTGCTTGTTTCAGATTTCTCCCATTTATTCTGATTGTTGTCTGTTGTTGCTGCTGTTGATGTTGGCCAGAAATCTTCATCGCCACATCTGTTTTCTCTATGTTCACCTGAAGGCCTACCTTCTCTGGATGCTTCTTCTGCCAACTTGTTGCTTTTCACTTGCATATCTTCCAGTTTGTGGGAAATGAGACGTATGTACGTTATCGGCGAAGTCCAGATCCTCTAAGTTTTTGTATGGATCCATTTTATGCCTGTCTCATTATCCAGTCTACCACAATCAGGAAATTAATCATTGGAAATAGTCGGCACCCAGTTTGCCTTACTCCCGTCGTCATTTCTAAGGATTCCGTGAGTTTCCCGTTGTGGATTACTTGGCACGCAGCATTATCGTACAACTGTTGGATGAGGTGCATAATTGTTGGCGGCATCCCGCAGTAGCAAAGTAGTAGTAGTTTCCAAATCACTTCTCGATCGACGCTGCGCTGTCGAAGTTTTCAAAGTCGATGTAGTTGAGTGAGGTAGAGAGATGTGTGACTGCCATTCCAAGCTCTGTCCAATGATGATACGTAGTGCTGCGATTTGATGATTACTCACTAGATGGTTAGTAATTAATGTCTAGATGGACAACGCAAGCTACTTCAGTAGTCAACGAAACCAAAGCTGAATAGCTACTCACTAGGAAAGAAAAATTAATTTAAGTAGTAGTATATATAAATACAATTAATCTAAATTTTCACTTACTAATACAACATATTCATTATTAGTATTTGGTGCACAAACAATCGATAAATCTTCCCAACCTTCAATAGCACCATAATTATTCCATGCTTTTTCATTGAAATGTTTCAATGGAAATATGAAAGCAGCATATTCTCCTTGTAGATCTAATGAACGCAATTTCATACATGTGTATAAATATTCGGATAAACAGTTAATCAGCAGTTTCTCCGATTTCTTTTGTTCATCATTGTGAGATGCGCCGTTGACTTTATCATTTTTATCTATCCAATCTTGTAAAAATGGATGCATTGATTTCAGCGTGTCTTTTAGTGTACTCAAAGCTTTTGGTGATTCCGACTGTATAATATCTGCTGAGACAACAATGTTATTGTTATTATTACTTTGAGTACTAGCTGCAGTAATTGCATTATTATTGTAGTTAAAATTAAACTTTCCCAAACGTTTGTTCTCTGCAATTCTAGTGAAGTAAGGCAGAGCTAAATGATTCGATTTGTCCGAACTCATCTGAAATGAAAGCGAATATGGGGGGATGTCAATTAATATAACAGTATATGATAAAAATATGAAATTAAGTCAAGTAAGGCACATGGACTCATGTGAAAAATGGGCCAAATCCATTTTATCTAACTCACACCACCCTCTTCACTCACAACTCTCCCCCTGCATCTCATCAGGTAAAACCAGAAGCCTATATAGAAAACTATATGCTCGCACCAGCAAGTACAAAAACTCAACCATACCCTATTTAGTTCGTGTTCTGTGTGATAAAGAAAGCATTAGGCGTGACACCTATAATTCATTAATTAGTCAGTAGTACAACTGGACCTCGTCTTTCCAACTCATATCATTTATAGGTACAACATTTTCTTTCTTTCTTTTCCTTTTTCTGTCTCTCTCTTTTTTCCGTTATGTGCTGCTTTGTTTCTTTCTTCCGTTTACGCCAGTAAATATGATAGCATCTACTTTTCTAACACCTTCAAACACTGTTCAGCTTTGGCTTTGCTACCGACATGCCGATATGTTGTTATCATAATGAACTGAGATTTCCTTGATCTATGTAGAATTTTATATATTGATAATGTACTAACTGGATGCAATACTCCATAATGGATAAGATTTTATTTTGATAAATCACAGTGTTGTACAGTTATATTAACTGATTATGTTTCGAGCACAAACTATTGCTCATAATCATATCAAGTTGATATGATATCATATCAAATAATAAAATATCAAATAAAATCTTATCCATTATAGAGTTATACTCTACCACAGTGCCCAAGTTTTATACTTATATCAATGGATGCAATACTGTAGTAAGAATGCTGAGAATTCCATTCTGTATCACAAGTACTGTTTTGGAATAAAGCAAATTATTATTATTATTAAAAGTAAGCAGTAAGCTGATAGTGAATGTGTCAGCGGCGGCGAATCCAAGAAGAGAAGACCTTGTTAAATGACACAGAAGTAAGTTCCTTGGAAATAACACCACCACCACTCCAGTGTCACCGTTTGTGAAATAAGGATAAACTTTGTCAATTTGGCTAGGTGGCTTAGCGCAGAATGCTCGCCAATCATGCTAAATGTGGTCCGGGGTTCGATTCCTGACCGAACACTTGACACCTGAACATCGCTAAGTCGGTAATAAGACCGTTAAATAGGGAAGGTTGGGCATCAGGCTAGCAACCCCACCAAGTAAAAATAAACACTACTGCTAGCGAAACGTCAAAGCTGTAGCTTGAAGCCCAATGTTCCACTGTGGCTGTAAAGGAATAGAATAATTGAAAACTTTAAATTAATTTGGCCCCCTCCTGTATGTGTATCTGGCAATTTGACTGTTTTTTGGGGGGAGGGGAACTTATCATCAGCCGTGTACCATGTGGTTTAAGTCAGATCAGAGAACCGAATCATTTCTCAAACCAACCGAAGTAAGTGGCATATTGGACTACACGTCTCAACTGTTTTTTTATTACAGCTTGATTCCACATCTAATTTTGGTACAAGTATGGAATTTTCAGCATGCGATATAGGTAGCCCAAATTTCGCAGGCCGACCATTGATATCAGGTGTGCGTTGGCAGCGGATTGAACCCCGGACCATGTGCATGATCGGCGGGAGTCCTAACGACTGTGCCACCGACGCTCAGCAATATTGCAATTAATAGTTCTATAAGTTTGTACCGATTTCGGTAGCACTGAGATTTGTGCACATATAATTTTGGTCTGCCTACATTTCACTTGGTGTTCAACAAATAAGGGACTATTTCGTAAAATCTTGGTCACAGTTCACACACAATAATCGCATTAAGCCTCCAGCGAATGACTACACTCACTAGTCATGACCTTCCCACCGAAATACAGCCTTGACATTTTCACTCTGATTATTGAAGAGTAAGTTTAGCGTACGCCAATAATCAACGTCCGTCAGCTAGAGAGGACCTCAGAGAATAAGGACAAAGTGGGGACGTACTGCTGAAGCCCTGTCTTCTACTCGGAACCAAGGGAATATTAACGACGTATGCAATATAAGAATAAAACTTGTGGACTGTGGTAGAGTATAATTCCATCATGGGCAAAATTTGTTTTGATAAAGTCTCCCAGTGTTATACGGTAATTTTTACTGTGTAGTATAGTATATAATGTCATGCACTTATTATTACGTCACTCCACGTCACCACTCCTCATCACATATGCAACCAATCAGATTTCAATCGGGTTACACTCAAATACTCTTTTTCAGGCTTTTTTATTTTGCGGCAATATTAGACTTATCATCCAGGTTGCAAAACAGAATGGTAGTTCCACTTACTGGACGTCATGCTTTTTAGAAAAGGCTCATTCACAAGGCAGTACACACACTTCCTTAGTTACGCGCCCTTTGAAAACAAAAGAAATTTTGTCAATTGTTTTACGAGCACAGCAAGAAGGATATGTATGGATGACCTCTTACAAAAGGAATTTGAACATATTCACGATTCCTTGACGGGGATGGGCTATCCTAGTAGTTTTATAAGGAAACATATGAAAACATTGGGGAGAAAACCTCCTGAGACTATGACTGCACGTAAAAAGCCTCTGTTTATTAAGTTACAATTTAATGGTGACTTGTCAAGTGAGATTTTATCCCAAAAGATTTTCAGTAGTATACGAAGAACCTTTAGCGCAGCAAACTTACGTTTGTCATTCTCTAGTCGACGAATGATTGGGGCGCGAACAAAGGATAAGTTAGACATTAATAAGCTAGATAGTTTTGCCACATCTATGTGTATTTATCGATTCAACTGCACTTGCGGTGACAGTTATGTTGGACACACTACTACTAGACAGCTTAGCCAGCAAACGTGTTACTGAATATCTCCCATTATGGTTTAGCAAAGGACAAACAAAAACAATCCATAGCTCCATTTCGTCACACCATATTCATTGGATGGTGGTCATGTAGTGGAGAAAACGAAGGCATTCAAGGTAATTCATCACATCCCACCGAATCTTTCGAAGAGACGATAGGCATTCGAACTATTAAGCTTAAACTATGCATTCAAAAGAAGTTCCTACAGCCATTATCCCTTTCTCGGTCTATTGAGTCTTGACCAACTGAAGACATCTCCACCACCCCTTACTTATATTTTCAACCCCTCTCTTATCATCACTTAATCCTATTAACACATCTTCATTAAAAACGTATCTCATTTACTTCCCTTACAATCTAGCATTACTTAATCAGTTTATGCTTGTTTTTCTTAGCCTTTATCGACTACCACGTCTACCTGAACAGTTGTTTATTTAATCATGCTGTTTTTTGTTATTCTTGTAATCACAGTTCATCTCACGTTTTCATCCTTATTTTTGATAGAACCATTATTATAATTATTATTGTCATTACTGTTATTATGACTAATCGCACAATTTATATGCACAATCTTATTATCAAGTAATGGTTTTGTAGGAATTTTTTTGTTTGATTGCATGGAGGGTTTCATCATGAGCTGACATCAGTTAAAGAACCACTGGAGAACCTGGGAGGACTGGACAGCTGTTTCGTCCTAGTTTGGGACTCCTAAGCAGTACGCACCCACCGGGGTTCGAACCCAGGACCTTCTCGTTACAAGGCGAGCTCGTAGACCGTTGAGCCACTGGGACCCGATCCAACGGCCCTTGAGTTCTAACTTCTGACAATCCACGACATAGCGCGACCATTTCGCAATGTCTTCTTAGATGAATTACTGCCTGTCTCATCTTCAACCTGCTCTACCCTACTGTTCACGGCTTCCCACTAGAACCCCAGATAACTACCAGCATGAATAGGGCCAGTCGCTAGTAAGCATCAGATTAATTTTAAAGTATTGGTTTTGTAGGGATTTTTGTTTGATTGCATGAGGGATTTCATCATGAGCTGACGTCAGTTAGAGAACCAGTGGTTCAATGGTCTACGAGCTGGCCTTGTAACCAGAAGGTCCTGGGTTCGAACCCCAGTGGAGTGGGTGCGTACTGTGAAGAGTCCCAAACTAGGACGAACCACCGTGCAGTCCTCCCAGGTTTTCCAGTGGTTCTTTAACTGTTGTCAGCTCATGATGAAATCCTCCATGCAATCAAGCAATCTTATTCCCCTATAGACCAAACACCATGATCAGTTTATATTTGAATATTTATTTGTAAAGTTATGTATATTCGAGTTAAGCCTGATGAGATCTAACTGAAAGCACAATAGTGTTCGCTTAAATGAGTTATTGTTAATTTCTATACTTGTGAGAATAATCTTCGATGTTGTACAGAACAAGTACCAGATAACTTTTCTAATTACATTATTCTAAATTTTATTTTATTCCTTTACTTTCCTAGTGGAACTTAGGTCTTGAAGCTAGAGCTTTGGCGTTTAGGTAGCAGTAGTGTTTATTTTTACTCGGTGGGGTTGCTATCCTCATGCCAAACCTTCCCTCTTTACCACTCTTTTTACTGGCTTAACGAGGGCCAGGAGTGAGTTGGTTGGGGGATCGAAGCGCGTACCACATATGACGTGGTTGGCGAGCGTTCCAGCGCTGAATCACAGACATCTAACTACGTTTAAATTGGATTAGTTGAAAATGAAGGCTAGAATTATCTAAGTGTGTGCACAGAGATAATTCTTCAAAGGTAAACACATTTACGCAAATATACATATACACACAAGCCCACACAGATATGCAATAAATTGTTGTAGTGGAATAAATTTCCTCACATCGAAAGCGTGAGTTATGCTTAGTATTGTGGATAGGGTGGGGACGGTTTAGTGAGCACCATAGTCTTTAGTTTGCAACAGATGTAAACTTTATCCAATTTTTCCGATTTTGTTAGGCGTGAGGTGATTTACAGAATGTGATTAGCGCGACCATTGACAATCCTATGGAGTACTGGATTATGAAATCGTCATAGTGTGCAAGATCCGTAGCTATAACTGACTTCGGAGACTCAGGGATTGATCTGTTACCAGAAAGGGAATAATCTCGCTGAATTAGAATATGAGGATGA